ATCATGCTGTGATGACAGTGCTGCTGACGAACCTGGCCGCTCTTTAAAGGGAGACTTTTTTACCTCCACCACAGGACTTGTGACAGGAGCCAAGGAGTCGCGGACAAAGTTACAAGAAACAGCGGTAAGTTACCAGAAACCTTTATGCGCTTCTAAGTTATATCCTGAAAGGGACAAAGTTGTCTATATATTTATATTAAAAAAAGACATGACGTGTGTTACAAAAGGAGGCTATGAAATAAGATGTATTGTTATTATTCTTTTATGGAGTGTAATTGTTTTTAATTAATTTAGAGTTTGTTGCAAACAATGTCCTGTGCGTAACCGAGATTGCTTTGTTTTTTTTTCTTTTTTACCGCTCACTGAGAAAGAGATTTGAAACCTGTAATACAGAAGAACTTTTTGTACTTAAGAAAAACAAACAAACAAACAAACAAACAAACAAACAAACGCTCATATAATTTTGGAAGTCGAACAGAGTGCTCCGTATGATTAAATTCGCCGTTGTTTGGTTAAGAGCCCGGAAACGTTGACATAACACAAGGGAAGTTTTTGTGTATATTCCAACTTCAAACGCGTGTATACCTGTGTGAGCAGGGGCATGACTGAGGTATGCTATCCAAGATGTGGCAGGATATATTTTTCTTCTTCCTGTCGGAAATTTTGTTTTTGAAAATCTGTGAAAATGTTTTCAACAAACGTCCAGACAACAGATTGATGACCTGTCTACGTGTAACTGTTTCAGCTAAAAAATCAGCAACAACTTCAGTCATCTGTAGCCGATCTCTGCCCAGCAGTCAGCGAACAGTATCATCACCTGCGGAGATGAGCAGCAACACGAAGTAAGTAACTGGAGAGATGTTCACTCACAGAACCAGGACTCACATAGTTTGCTTTTTGTACAGTATAACAACGTTTCTACGTTTAACCAACGTAGTTAATTATGACTTTAAATATTACATATTATTTTACTTTCCTGTATACATGTTTATTAATTTACATTTATAAAACTCTGAGTATCATTGAGCTGAAATGTATTTTGTGAATTTGGGCAAAACAAGTAGAACTGATTTGACTCCACTTGACTTTGTGTACACAAATCCTTTTAAGTATAGAAATGAAAGTAGCAGGTGACTTAAGTTCTTCCTTTTCTTCTTTTTCTTTCGGCTCTGCCCCCTCTTTCAGGGGTTGCCACATGTGGTATGAATATACTTAATATGGAGAACACGGTTGTCTGAGAATGCATTTCAGTGTGTACATGTGTATTCTGGTTTTAGAAAACGTGCAGATTATTTAGGTTAATTGGTCAAATATTTTAATCACAGGTATCAGTGTGAGACTGATTGGATGTTTGTTTCTATGATATGTGGGTCTATGATGGACTGGATGACTGTCCAGACCCCTCCCCACCGCGGTGGAAAAAATGTACTAAATTCTTGCTTATTTATTTCATTCAAAGAAAATCCAGTCATATCCATTTACTGTCTTTATTTAAAGGTAATCTGGCAATATTTTAAAATAACAGGTAATTCAGACTCTACTACTAACAGAATATAATCTAAAAGATGTTTTACTTTAAAAAAAAAGCTCATTGCCTTGGTACCGGTGTGTAGTAACGGGTGGTACTGGCTGAGCAGTCCTTGGAACAAAAAAGGTCGGGGACCACTGGAATAGATATAACTACTCCATAACAGACCCATGTTGAGTGTTTCTACAATTGATTATTATTTGTTCAAGCTACAAATATTGTTCATTGCTGTGTTATAATTGTTTTTTAATTATTAAGGTTAAGAAACTCCACTTCATGGACTTTACTAAATGGTTTTTAAGCTCCCGTCCCCTATCCCCCCAC